AGTCTGTTGCCCCCCCCCCCCCCATAATGATGGAGTTCAGGGGTCCCCAGTGAAGGTTCTGGTAATCCTCCATCATACAAAGACATTGTAGACAATTGTGCTCTTCCAGCCTTGTGGTCACAGTTTGGTGAAGACCCTTTTCTCTTCCGCCATAACTGTCCCCTGTACAAAGCCAGCTCCATACAGACATGGTGTGACCAGCTTGGTGGAGGCCACTCAAGTTCCTCCACACCAGAGACCTGACCTCAACCCTACTGAACACCATTGGGATGAGTTGTCGGACATTGAGTCCGGTCTTCTCATCCAACATCAGTACCTGACCTCACAAATGGGACAAAGTCCCACAGACACCCTCCAACATCTCATGGAAAGCCTTCTCAGAAGAGTGGGGGGATGGGCAACTCCATATTAATGGCCATCGGGGTAAGCGGGGGCGCAACTCCATATCATATCCCGCAGACACCTTCCAAAGTCTTGTGGAAAGTCTTCCCAGAAGAGTGGAGGAAAGTGTACCCACAAAGGGGCAACTCCATATTAATGGCCCTGGACTGGGGGGAGGGGCAACTCCATATTAGTGGCCATGGTTTTGAAATAGGATACCCAACAAGCTCATATATGACTGATAGTCGGGTGTTCACACAATTTGGCCTTATACGGGAGGAGTGTACTGTGACCTCACTTGGTGCATACTAGTGCCAAGCATCATAGCAAGAGGCAGCCAGGCAACTAGCATTTTCAGAAAGTAATTTTTGAGTGATACCCCAACGCATTAATCCAATGTTCCTGCACTGAGGGGCCCCACAATGCTTGTTAAGCCCCCAAGTTTTTCTCAGAGCCCCAGACTTTTACTCAGATCCCTGGACTACTACTCAGAGCTCTGGACTACTACCCAGAGTCCTGGACTAGTATTCAGAGCCATGGACTACTTCTCAGATCCCTGGACTACTACCTAGAGACTTGGACTACTCCTTAGAGCCCCAGACCTTTACTCAGATCCCTGGACTACTACCTAGAGACTTGGACTACTCCTCAGAGCCCCAGACCTTTACTCAGAGCCCTGGACTACTACATAGAGACTTGGACTACTCCTCAGAGCCCCAGACCTTTACTCAGAGCCCTGGACTACTACATAGAGACTTGGACTACTCCTCAGAGCTCCACCACATTCAATGACACCTGCAACCTTTCTGTTGATTGTGAGCTGCATTCAGTATCGGAAGGATGACAATCATCATGAATATTTTGTGTGTAATAGTTGAGGGATCTCTGCTGGACGGAGCTGCATTGTGTGTGATGGCCGGTAGTGTGCACAGCGCAGAGACGCAGCAATGGGGTTTCCGCTCCATCATCTTATGAGGGATTTTTTTTTTCTCAGAGCGCGTGTGAATAAGCGAAGACACGGACAATTCGACTCCCACAGACGCATCGCCCGTAGTGCCGCTTTATAAAAGAAAAAGGCCGGCGTGTCTGTATGGAAATAACGTCCTTCTCATCTCAGGAGGGGCGACGCGCGACCGTTCTCAGGAGGCTGCTGAGCCCGTGCAAAGCCGCTTATGGCAAATGGAGGCTAACAGCCAAGATTATAGGGAGGGTGAGGGTCGGGAGAGCCGGAGCAGCCAGCCAGATGGAAGCGGCAATCAGATTAACAGGCTCAATTAGTGGCAATTGTTTAGGGAGGGAATTCGCCGACTTACCGGATTGGGCAGAGGAGGCGCAGGAGAGCGGCACGGCGCCAAGCCATGAGCAGGACGCTCCAGGAACCAATTTCTGAAGGGCCGCCAGCGGGGTCGGGCCGGAGGGTGTGTTAGGAGGGGGGATTAAACGCAGGTCATCTGATAACTGTCACCGAAATAAGAACGGAGTCTCTTCATTATGCCGGGCCAGGCGCAATCTGACGCCGCGGAAACGTCGCAGCCCCAGATAAGGAAATTCTCTGTTTCCAAAATTAAAGGAGAACTATGAGGGGGGGAGGGGTGCTTTTCACTCACCTCATAGTTCTAGCCGACCTGCGACAATGAGACTGTCACAGGTCGGCTCAGTAGATCGGGAGGTGAGAGAACACATACCGGCGTTCGCTCACCTCTCGATCCTGTCACTGCTCTCTGCCGTGATAGGGGAGGGGCTGGATTCCCACCTCCCCGCTCCGATCCGCCAGCGCTGACTGGCGGAACGGACGGGGGAGGGGGCGGGTACAGCTGGCTCTGCCTCTAGATAGGCAGAGCCAGCTGTCAATCACACAGTTGGGGCGGATCCCGGCATAATTGTCGGGATCCGTTTCAGCGGCGGCGTCTCAATATATAATGAGCTGTAGCTTGCGGTATACTGAGCTTAGGGTGACGCGAGGACGCTAGTTCCAGGGGACATTGTACTGCTGCTGCATTAATGCCGGGGACAGAATGGAGCATACAGTATGTGTTATATTCACCCGAAGTGAAAACCACCTTCCGTTCTTTGTGAATGTCGGATATGGAAATCAAGTGACATACTTTCATCTTATGTACTGCAACTGAATATATTTAATTTGACACTTTTTTCCATTTCTTTAGGTATAAATGTCTCTGCCAACCAAGACGAGGAGACGGACTTTGAAACCTTCCAGATGCAGATCAATAGAGAGACCAAAAAGTGCAGCTTCCACACCAACTCGGGCAAGTACTGGACTCTGGTGGCTCACGGCGGTATAAGTAAATTACTTTTCTTTTCTTCAGCCAGAAAGAGGGAAACAATGAGACATATGGCGGATCCATACACACAGGGCCCGACCTTCTGTTAGTAGGAGCATCTGACAGACAGCTATGCACGACCCAGAATGCTTCACCATATGAATGGGCATGCTGTGACTTGTAGTTTCTCAGCAGATGCTAAAGGGGTGACGTGTATATATATATACACAGCTATCTATCTATCTATCTATCTATCTATCTATCTATCTATCTATCTATCTATCTATCTATGCTATATTGCCAAAAGTATTGGGACGTCCCTCCAAATCATTGGATTCAGGTGTTCAGTGACATTTCCTGGCTACTAAATATTCCGAGGTCGCCTGTTACTGGGATTATAACAAAGTGGAAGCAACTAGGAACACCAGCAACTCAGCCAGGAAGTGGTCGGCCTCGTAACATGTAAACCTTGTGGACGCCTCCCCAGAAGAGGCGGAGCTGTTATAGCCGCAAAGGGCGGAGCCAACCCAATACTGAACCCTACGGACTAAGACTGGGATGTCATTAAAGGTCGTGTGCGTGTAAAGGCGTCCCAATACTTCTGGGAATATAGTGTATTTATCTATCTATCTATCGGTATCTACACACAGAACAATGCACGTCACCAGTCAATGAAGCGCTCCTACACAATGCATGTTATAGATTAGGAGTCAATGGGGGCCACGTTGTGTCCGTGTCACATCCCACCTTTGTGGTAAAGTCACCGGATTTCCATAAGGAGAGAAGAGCGGATGTATACATTCCAGTACTCTCTCCGCGGCGCGTCAGCGCACAATCAGAAAAAGAACCGCCGTAATTTATTAGGAAAGCCGGCATGAGCGGAGTGACAATAATAAAGGATCTCAGCAATGGGCCGAAGTCATATTGTAACCGGTATTCTTCTCATGTTCCCGGCAGCGCTCCCGGCACAATGTTCGAGATTGAATGGAGAGGCCGGAAGGTGGCTCTGAAGGCCGGCAATGGGAAGTATATTTGCACCAAGAAGAACGGGCAGCTGGCAGCCGTGTCTGACTCCGTCGGTGAGTTTACAAAGACCAAATCTTCTCACTTTATGATCTCCGTTGACGCAGATTGTGCTTACCCAGAAACGCTTCTCAGGCGAGTGTCCGAAGACGGGGCCCTGCGTTGTCGTAGTGGTCTCTGGTTGGTGGCTCCTGAGTCACATCAGAGGCAGATGAGTAGGTCCACCTCTGATATGGGTCAGCGGGAGCCAATTATCCCGACTTTATACATCACAATGTTGCAGAAAAGATCATGCGCTTCATTTACAGGCTGTTTAATCCTTAAAGAGGACCTGTCAGTAACGTTACAAATCTGTGAATACATGTCACACTAAACAGCAACAGCATCATTACTCAGAACAGCTCCACCTTGTATCATTAGGGCTTCCATGGATGCCAATACAGGTACATGGGCATACAGCATAGCATACACCTGTATCTGCAGGGCCCAGGAGCCCCAGCTGCTGTGTGCTCATAGTATTGCATGGGCAGAATACACTGTACACGGGAGGGGG